TTCTTGACCACCACAATAGGAACAATCCATGAGGAGTAATTCATAGATTTAATGATGCAAGTCCTTGGCAGTCCCCCAATTCCTGATCAACCCTTGGTAACGTCGCATATGGTACTGGGCGTTTGGGTCGGAAAACAGGTTTGGCGTCAGAGCGGAGGGATAATACTGCCTTGGTTTTCGTGCAGCAATCGAGCTCATCCCGGAATACTTGAGTGCATTTGTGGCGCAAACTCACTACCAGAACATTCCTGGGAGGAATGATCCCAGACTGAACGCACGACTGATTACACACAGAATTAAATGGGACGTCCAGAAGCCTGTTTTACGATCCAGTCCAGGCTCAGCAAGTTTATATTTGGACGATTAGAAAGGTAATACACGACACAGAACTGTACATTATTGAAAAACACAAGTTCACCTGTGAGTTTCAGGACTCCACCGGAAGCATATAGCGCTGTACGATTTTCGGCTTTGGAGGTGGTTGACCGGCCATCTTCCATGTGTTTTGTGATAACAAGGTAATATCAGATGCCGTATCAAATTAGAGCCGCACACGAGTATTGTTGATCTGCACAGTCACATATATGCGCCGGTGGTTTGCGTCCATGTCGAAGGTAGCCATAATAGGATTTATTTTGTACTTAGATTTTTGTCCGGCGTTTCTGAACTGACTGGACTGGGTCTTCGGAAGTGTTCCATTGTTTGCGCAGCAATGCTCCTCTTTGTGCCCTCGTGTGTGACATTTCTGACAGCGGTGCTTTTTGAATGGACACAGTCGGACATAATGCCAACCACCACACTGCCAGCAGACTGTTGAGGGTATGTTAAAGGTGCCGCTTCTAGATAACTTAGTGGTCTTTGCTGAGATATCTTTTGTCACAGCATGCATGTTACTGGAGCCAGAGACTGCTTCACATCCAATCATGGCAGTATTTTGTTTCAAATTCAACAAACGGTGGCACTCTGAAATGACTGATATCAGCTTTAAGGTAGGGTCCTGCTCCATCCTACTGAGTAAGCGGGTACCAATCTCTGAGTCACAGGGCGATTGAGGACCACAGATGTCCGGGAGAAAGTAAGAATTGCCTTGGAAATTCCCTATTTTAGCGATTAATCGATTATTAACGATTATCGCATCGATTTCGAACGTTCCTGTATGTTCTGCTTCTACACGTGATCAAAATCCACCTGACCTCTCGGGAAAAGATATGGGGAACCACTAACCTTGGCAAGCTGACCTTCCAATTCTAGAAGTCGAAGGTCAGCAGAGACCTATAAATACAGACAGGTTCCTCAGTGG